TTTGTGGTGTCTCAGTTTTGTCCCTAATGTTCATTTGTCACAATTCAATCCCCCATAGGTACTCAAAACTCGTTCTGAAGGGGCAATTTCTTAGGGATGAACATAATCCAATCCCTGTTGGTGGTTATGGCTATACTGCTTAGGACATTTTGTTTAATTAGCTGATTGTCTCCTCCCCCTAAAAAAAGACAAAAAAGAAAAAAAAGCAAAAATCTTCCAAGTTATATGGTTATATTGTTGTTCTTACCTTGAATTCAAAATGTAAAGCTCCGAAGTGACTTTTATTTTTTATTTAACCAAAATATATTGGAGAGTGATGGAAGATGGTGGTTGGACTTTTCTATCCTTCCAGAGTCCTGATATCCAAGGCTCGACAAAATGGTTCTTTTTGAAAATGTGTGACAAATGAAACTTTACAGACAATATAGAAGCATTACAAAAAGGTTACGGACAAGTAAAGGAGTTGATTTCTTTTATAATATGTTTAGGTTGAAGGAATAGAAGAGAAGAAATGATTTTTGATCAATCAAATTACAATATTTAAAAAACATTGTAATTTGATTAGTTAAAAAACTATTTGCTCCTCTCCCCTCTCCTTAATTCAAATATATGGTTAGTTTCTAATTTTTTCTTTTCTTTTTTTTTTTAATAAAAGGACGCTTTTAGTGACATGAGCAGCGCCGAATTAGCTCAGAAACTACATTTGATGTAATAAACTTTCGAAATTCATCATAACATGGTTGTTTCTAACTTTCCAGTCATCAGTATTACTAGAAGGCATCGGACTCCGCATACCACGTTTTCTCAGAAACCAGGGATAAGAAAAATGGAAAATTGTTTATACAGTTTGGTCTAATTTTGAACCATCTTTGTCAGAAGAATAAATTTCCATTTTCTATTGGCTTGACTTTCATGTAACAGAAATTACAAGGGAATTGAAGATGGAAATAATGGAAGAGAATCCCAACCAAAAATTTCAAGTCATCTAGTTAAGTAATCATGAAGAATGTTCTCGAGTTTTAACCAAAATTCAAGACAACATTAACAATAAGGCATAGAAGTCATGTTTCGTATTATAAATTAGTCATTCTTTCTCTTTTGTCGTTGAATGTTACATCAAAAGGTTGGATTATGGATCTTATTAAAAAAAGTATGCAAAGACCAATTATGGTAGTCTTTTTGGTCCCCCAAATAGGCAATTTCATGGCTTAATTACTGACAAAAAAATATAGCCAATTAAAAACGTCTTCAATCTTCATTCATGGATACAAAGTCTCGAATTTGAATTTTGAAACCAGGACTGAAGTCCCAATCAAGCTTAATTTTTGCAATCAAAAGAAATTTCATCGGACATGAATTTAGTCCAGCTAAATACTAATAATTTGAAACTGGAGGGACAAGTGCTCAGAAAGAGAACAGTTGGAAGGATCTAGGAAGCATCATTGAGACTTGGTGGGGCTGATCATGGCATGGGCCCAGTGAGCTCCAGACGCCAATGAGCTAATGTGGACTTTCTATGATGAACCACTGGGATATTGGCTGTAGCACTGAAGCTCTGTACAGAGAATCCATTTCAGGGTTTTCAGGAACTCTAGATAAAATTGGCAGCATAGGGGAAGATCTTGCAACCACCAAAATGGCGTCAACCTAGGGAAGATTTGTAGCATTAAACCAATGCACTCAACTCAGGGAAGAAAATTTTTTTTTTTTTTTTTTTTTTTTTTGGGGTGGTGAATAACTTGGGGAGATTTGGAAAAACAAAAGATCCTCGTAGAAGTTGAAGCCCACAAAATGGTGTCGTTTCGCGGCATTGAATTTTTATATTAAAATTTTAAAGAAAAAAAAGGCTATTTAAGCTAGGGATTTCCTCTGTTTCTTGCATTAAAATGAGCAAAACTTTTCCCAAATTGCCTCGACTCAAACTAGACCCTAGTTTTCAAATTGTGCGACCTGCGTTTAAAATCAAGAGAGATCTGAACAATTTCTTTAGGTTTTCATCCGTATTGTAGCGAGGTAAAATATTATTTGCTTGGAAACTGAACGTGGAAATTCAGCAGACAGGAATTCATGTTGAACATGGTGTTACTATTTGCTTTTAGTAATGTGTCCTAACCCAAAGGCATAGGATTCCCCTTACCATATTTTCTTAGAAACCAGGGATGAGAAAAATAAAACACTGTTCACACAGATCATGGACCTTATTTAGCAATTCTCTTAAGTAGAATATAGATTCATTCAAAAAGAAAAGATTTTCATCGTTCTCAATTGACTTGACTAGTTGACTTTGATGTAACAGAGGTATCATACCCTTGCGGGAAATGAATACGTAGCTATTGCTTGTATTTAAATTCAGAAGGCAGACAAATAGCAGAGGTAAAATATTATACAAAATAAGCTTAAATATGACATCCTCATCCTCTGTTCTAAATGCTTACTTTGTGGCAACAGTTGTATGGGTTATTGTTCTTACAGTAACTTCGATGATGTTAGGAGCAGCAGAGTGGCAAGATTCAGAAGCTCAGGCATTGTTGGAGAGTGGGTGGTGGAATTGCTATGTCAACAACACTGTAAATCATTGTAGCTGGCCTGGTGTAACATGCAACTACGATGGAAGCGTCATCGAGATTAGACTTCCATATTATTTTCAAGGGGAAGTAATATTTACAAAGATGAACTTTTCTGCCTTCCCCAATCTTATTCGGCTTGATCTTAGTTACCAAGGGTGTAGCGGGAGCATCCCTCCTGGTTTAGGTCATCTGACCAAACTTAGAAAACTGTATCTTAATGGAAACCAACTCAGTGGATCCATTCCAACAGAAATTGGGAAGCTACATAATTTGGTTACTTTGGACCTTTCTAGCAACTTTCTTTCAGGTGAAGTTCCTTCCACTTTAGGCCGATTAGCCAATTTGTTTACTATTAAACCATCCTCCATCATGCTTTCAGGTCTAACTAATTAATCTGACATATTTGTCACAGGTTCCATCCCTCAAGAATTTGGAGACATGAAGAACCTCAGCTTTCTATGCATAGATACAAACCAACTTAGTGGTTCTATCCCCTCCCAAATAGGAAACATGAAGAGTCTCATCTACCTAAATATGGAGCAAAACCAAATTCTTGGTCCCCTACCTCCGACTTTGGGTCTTTTACACAAGTTGAAGCACTTCAATATTGGGGCAAATCAAATCTATGGTTCCATCCCCTTGGAAATTGGGAATTTAAAGAATTTACAGACCTTGGATCTTAGCCACAATAGTCTTACAGGTATGATGAGCTTTTAGCACACTTCTTCATTTGTTTTCAATTGAGCAACCTTGGATAATTTGTTTGCTTTGATTTTCACTCATTTATTTTATTTTCTTTACCCAATAATTAGTCAAAATAATTTGTTCATTGACTGCTTTAGAGTAAGAACAAAATAATTAGTCAAATTCTTCTAAACTTCCTAGTAACAAGGATGTGTTTCACAGATTCAATTCCTCCCGCTTTGCGTCATCTAACTAGTCTGACCTACTTGTATCTTGATTCAAATCTTCTAGGTAATATCCCAGGAGATATTGGGAATTTGACATCTTTGCAATATTTGTACCTCTCACAAAATAGATTGAGTGGACCTATCCCTATTCAGCTTGGGGATTGCTTGAATTTAAAGGAGTTATCATTGAGCAATAACTCTTTAAGTGGAACCATCCCCCTTCAGATTTGCAACCTCTCTAGGCTCTCACTAATTAATATAAGCCATAATTACATAAGTGGAGAGATTCAATTTTGGGATTTACCAAGGTTGAAGGTGCTCGATCTTAGTTACAATAGTCTTTCAGGCTCCATTCCAAATTTGCTTCATCTAACTTATTTAAGGCGCTTGTATCTTGATTCAAATCTTTTAGAAGGACATATACCTGGTGACATTGAGATTATGCATTTTTTACAATATTTATACCTCTCCCAAAACAAATTGAGTGGACCAATTCCAACTCAGCTTGGAAATTGCACGTATTTAGTGGAGTTGTCATTAAGCAACAACTCCTTAAGTGGGAGCATCCCTATTCAAATTGGCAATCTTTTTTCGCTCTCACGAGTTGATATCAACCACAATTCCATTAGTGGATCTGTTGGCAGAAGCTTCTAGTTCCAGCCCATTTTTCTACAGCCTATTGCAAGAGGCTGTAAGCTACAGCAGCCATTGTGGAAATTTACAATGGTTATTTCAACCATTGTACATGAACCTCATTTAATGAGGTAGAAAACTTGCACCGGGGTAGTTGGGTTTTTTACCCTATAAATAGCATGCAATGGCAAGGCAATAAGCAAGCAAGAAGCAAAGAGTGCAGCACCAAAGTGAGCAAAAAAAGAGGGCTCCGGGGAAAAGGAAAAAAAAGGGTGAGAGCTAGGCATTAAGCTTAGGTGTGAGTGTGCTCCATAGAGAGAGTACATTGAGTGATAAAAATTGTGAGTTTATCAGGATTGTGATCATATCCTGGGGGAGTGGGAAACACCAAGAGAGAGAAAAATACTTGAGTGTATACTCTTTACAATTTTATCATGTAGTGAAATACCCTTCGGAGTTTGTCCCGTGGTTTTTTCCCTCAATAGTTTTTTGGGGATTTTTCCACGTAAAATTTGGTGTTATTTTGCTTGTTTATTTTCCCGCTTAAGTGACTGGTTGAACCGCCCATTTTATTTATATTTCTTAAGTGGCAGGTTGAACCGCCCATTTTATTTTGCTTGGTCAGCTAAACCGCCTTTTTCACTAACCGTTAATATTGGTCGGCTAAGCCGCCTATTTCACCATTCTTTGTTATTGTTCACATGTTTTGATAACAGGAATTAATTTATTCCGTTGTGCCATGTTTCCCAACAGGATCCATCCCTTTTCAGCTTGGGAATTGCTTCAATTTAATGGAGTTATCATTGAGCAACAACAACATTAATGGAGGCATCCCTCTTGAGATTGGCAATCTCTTTCGTCTCTCACTAATTGATATTAGCCACAATTTCATCAGTGGAGAGATACCTCGTCAACTTGGGAATTTATTTTACTTGGAGGCCTTAGATCTTAGTTACAATAACCTCTCAGGCCAAATCCCAATTGAATTGCTTCATTTTCCAAAGAGGTCTTTCATAGGAAATAAGGGATTATATGATCACCCTCTTAGGAACAAAGTGTTGAGGTTTGTTAAAATTATTCTTCCCGCTACCATTTCTGTTTTCTTGGTACTTTTGGCTTTGTTGTCGCTTTCTAGAAGAGTACATAGGGGTAAAAGTAGGGAAGCATATCCAAGTCCAACAAAAAATGGGGATATATTCTCAATATGGAACTTTGATGGAAGGATCGCATATGAAGATGTCATTGAAGCAACTGAGGATTTTGACATCAAATATTGCATTGGCACTGGTGGCTATGGCAGTGTTTATAAAGCACAATTGCCGAGTGGCCAAGTAGTTGCTTTAAAGAAATTGCATAAAAGGGAAGCAGAGGAGCCAGCATTTGATAAGAGTTTCAGGAATGAGGTTAAGATGTTGACAGAAATACGACATATATAGAAACATTGTGAAGCTTCATGGATTCTGCCTACATAGGAGATGCATGTTTTTGATCTATCAATACATGGAAAGAGGAAGCTTATTTTGTGTGCTTAGAAATGATGCTGAAGCTGTGGATCTGGATTGGAACCTAAGAGTGAATGTCATAAAAAACATAGCGCATGCTTTGTCTTACCTTCACCATGATTGCATCCCACCCATCATTCATCGGGACATATCAAGCAACAACATTCTATTGAACTCAAAACAGGAGGCTTTTGTTGCTGATTTTGGAAATTCTAGATTTTTGGATCTTGATTCATCCAATTATACTGTACTTGCTGGCACCTATGGTTATATTGCCCCAGGTTTTCTCCATCACCATTCTTCTTCTATTATCTTATTTCATTCTTTACTGTTGAATTGACATGTTAAACATTGTATTTTTTTTTTCCCTTTTTAGAGCTTGCCTATACAATTGTTGTGACTGAGAAGTGTGATGTTTATAGCTTTGGAGTTGTGGCATTAGAAGTATTGATGGGAAGACATCCTGGGGAACTATTAACATCATTGTCATCATCACCATCTTCTTTGCAAAATGTGATGCTAAGTGACATATTAGATACACGTCTATCACCTCCAAGAAGCAGAAATCTGATGAAGAATATTTTGGTTGCTACTACACTTGCATTGGCTTGCTTGCGCGGAAAACCCAAGTCTAGGCCAACAATGAAATTTGTGTCTCAACAGTTTGTTGCTCACCAAACACCACTCAAGAAGCCTTTTCCATCTATTTCTCTATTGGAACTTGTGAATAGTGAATTGAAGATGGAAAATGAAATAGAATCTCTACCAAAACTTTCAAGTCATCCGGCCAAATATCATGATTCGTCCTTAAACGAAATCCTTGATGTATAATTTTGAGAATCAAATGGCTACCTTGTTTTGACGAGAGATTGTCAATAAAAACAACTTGTTCCTCATTTAGTTAATAAATGGAGTACCCTGCATGTAAGTGTAATACATATATATTACTCGTTATATAGTATATAGACATTAATGAACCTCTAAGAGCTCAAAAACTTTTGGCTAAATCTTCTACTTGCACCCATTATATTATTTATTTGGTTAAATGCTTAATTTGGTCCCTCAACAATTTTTTGCACTTTTTTGATCCCTCAACTATACGAAATGCACTCCGTTAGTCCTTCTATTAATTTGGGCCGTTAACCCTGCTTAGGTGGCATTTTTTATATTTTTTTTGATGATGTGGAGAGCAAAACTTAAAAAAGTGATGAGATGTATAAAACTTTTGCCATGTCACATGCTACCCTGGTGAAAACACACCAAATCCATCCAATGGGTCCCACATCACCACTAAGAATTGCTTCTTTGCCCATCGGTTACTGTTTTTATTCTTTCCATAAATGGTGTTCTTTCCATTTTCAAGATTGAAGTTCGACAGAACCCAACAGATCTGGGTTCGATGTAACCCAACAAATAGGTTCCATCAAACCCAGCTCGATTCACTGAACTCAATTGTCCAAAAATCCCTCACAACAACCTGCAATTTGGATAATCTGTTGGTAAACAATCATACAACAAAAAAAAAAATCAATTGCCCAAAAATCCCTCGCAACAACCTGCAATTTG